AGGCATACAAAACCATCATACTCCTGGAAATATGCACATCAAGATGTATGGAACCAAAAAAATAGGCAAAAGAGAGAATGTCACCACAAAAACGCTGCTGTGAAGAACCCTCAGAGAACCTGACCTCCAGACCTCAAAAACACGATCCAACCGTTCAGAATGTTGGCTCAGATGTTGTGAAGATACTGACCAAAAATGACGACGATCCGACCGTTCAATCTTCGGGAAACAGAGTGTTTCTGCTACTGTRTTAAAAAGTGACGGAAATAAGGGAGCTCTCACCTTTCTTCTCTTTTCCCTCTGTTTTGGCTGCACGACTTAGAATTTGAAAATAGGGATGGAGAGATCTATATATATATGTGGGCCATAACATGTATGGGCCTTCCTCATGGGCTAAAACCATAAGAAAACCCAACAATTAGATTCTTCTCCATGCCACGAGGTTGTATATTGCGTAAGATCTCCTCAACAATCTTGTTGGTAAATGCAGATGCCCTGTAGTTTTTAGAGCGTTGTTAGCAAGTTAAACTCGCAAGAAAACGAAATACAAAATCCAATTTGTTAATTGAAGTTAGCCCACAATTCAGTGTGAAAAGGTATTCTTTTTGGCCCCAAATCGTTATCACTGATAACACAGTAAGCAAATATAATATTAGAAACTTTTCCCCAAATTAAACGAAATATTGTGCATGTTTGTGCTTCTTGTACACGATCTATAAACTATATATCTATAAAATTGTCAAGGACGAGAGGAAAAAGTAGTCAAATTTTGGAAGGCGAGTTTTATCCGTCTGTAAATAATTTATGTAGCACATAAAGGAAAACTTACTCTTTGATTGTTTGCGAGATATGATAACCAGATAAATTGGCAGCTGCAGTTAAAGCCCCCTCCACTCATTCACTTTATCCATCTCCTCCCTAAACTTATGCTCGTGCCGTCGAAAGGCAGTCTGGAAGTTTTTTCTCTGACCTCGCAAATCGGATGGATCAACATGATAGAACACCGGTAACACCAACCTTCCCATCCGATTATGACATTCCATGATTTTAGCAAGCTCAACCAAACACCATGAAGAGTCTACATAGTTTTTAGAGAATACCACCACCACACACCTTGACTCTTCGATGGCTTTTGTAAGTTCTGGAGTGATCAATTTCCCTCTATGCAGCATCTCGTCATCTTTGAACACACGTATTCCGCTCTGAACCAAAGCCGCATAGAGATGATCTACAAAATTGTATCGAGTGTCTTCGCCTCTGAAACTAAGAAAAATATCATGTGTCCGTCCTCCTGTTGGTACAGAAGAAGATGAAGGTGGAGAATAGCTGAAGGACGCCATTGAAAATACTGAAATTATGGTTTTCAAGAGGTAATATGCAAATCCCAGATAGGAAGTGATTGGTTTGCATCTTTGAACATGACTTGTTTTTCATTATTGGAAAGATTGTGGATCTGTGGTCAATGCCCATAAGTCAACAAAGACTCGTTACAAGTTGGAAATTCATGGGGTACAAATAATAATTGGAAATTTGTAGTGCGGATAAAAACCATCGTCAATTTCATGGCTTACTTTGTAATATAAAAAACTAAACAAGTGGAACATTTTCAAAAAAAAAACCCATGAAATTTACGATGTGAATAAGATGGCGTTTTTTTTAAGATGTTCTACTTGTTTAATTTTTTATGATTAAACCGCATTAAGTCAATCAACTACCAACTTGTCATGAGTATTTTTTACTTATTGGCATTGACTTGCCAAAACACGACCTGACTTTGAATTTTATGAAAAAATGGATCAATAGTTTTGCAAAAAGTTAACGAAATTTCGTGCTTTTCATATTTATATTCCTTTTTCATATCGATTTCTAGTAATAACGTTGTTTGGCAAATCTCTTTTTACCTTTTTTATATCCCGTTTGGTTTAATATAGTTAGAAATTTCAACTAGGGGTGTTCATCGATTGAGATCCAATGGATTTAGGTGGATCCGATCTGATCCAATCATTCATTGGATGTTGGATTTTGTCACACAATCCAATCCGATTAACATTTGAGATCTGATCCGATTCAAATCCAGTGGATGATTGGATCGGATTAGTTTCATCCATTTGATGTTACTGTTGGTTATGCATTGGATCTGATTTGATTCATCCAATCATTCGATCCAATACTCAACCAATTATTTGTATTATTTTCTTAAGTTATTAAAAAACAATGTATATAAATATCAATTAAAAAACAAAATCGTTAAATATTAATAATTATATATAGTTATTAATTGGATGGTCATTGTATTGGATCGGTTCGATTTTATTGGATGTTGGACTGTCATCCAAGAATCGACCGATCCGATTTGGATGTTGAAATTCTGGATCCGATCCAATCCAATTACAATTGGATATCCAATGATGGTTAGTCGGTTCTAATTGGATCAGTCGGTTGGTATTGGATCGGATGAATTTTTGTACACCCCTAACTCCAACATACATCTTTGCCAGAAACTTAAACAAACTAATACATTTTTTAGAAACTTCAATTAGAGTATCTACAATGAGGTTACTGTTGAGGTTTCTCTTGGAGTTTTCACAAAAACCTTCACCGTGGAACAAAGTTTCTTGTCGAATCTTCTTTTATTAAAGCTCAGGTGCTTGAATCGCATGTGTTTTTCTACGTAATATTTAGGAATGGCAATAGGCCAGGTTTGGGCAGGTTATTGGTATCCCGTCCATGAAAACGATAACTAAAACTGTCCTCGTAACTGCCTCGATCTTCGTCGGGGATCCCCGTCCCCGATCCCCGTTGGGGAACCCGTTAAAGGTAAAAATCTCATTTTTCCCATTGATTTCCCCGTTGTTTATATCCGAGCTCGAAACCCGAACTGGTCTGAAAAAATTACAATATCTTAATTTTCACAACTAAAAATAATTCACAATTTTTTTAAGATGTAAGTCTAAGTATCTCAAGCATAATCAAGCCAATTACAAACGTTTTAGATTACAGTATAAAAGTAAATATAAATTCAAACATCATACAACTAACATCACGATTTCATGATTTGACAAATAAACTAGACTTTTTCATAAGCCTAAAGCCTAATTTAGGATGTTGAGTTAAAGTGGATAATTTTTTTAAAATTTTAATGTTAATATTTTCTTTTAATGATATTATATATATATATATATATATATGTGTGTGTGTGTGTGTGTGTGTAAATTAAAGTTAATATATATACACATATCAGGCCGGCCCGAGCCGGTGATTACCGTCCCCGCCCTCGTCCCCGTCCCAGTTAAAATCCCTGAATTTGTCCCCGAACCCAACCCGACAGTCTCAGTGTTTTCACCATCAGTTTCGGATTTTTTTTGCCATCCCTAGTGATGTTAGTGTAAAATCACATGTGATTCGGTCATTCTCTTATTTTCTTAAATATGTCCATTCTAGTATGAATCCGACTATCTCTCTCTCTCTCTCTCTCTCTCTCTCTCTATATMTATATATATATATATATATAGACTTGGGATCATGTGAGACAAATAGTTTTTCGTAAGACCCGTAAGACCAATTCTCAACATTTGGATTAGATCTACAATCTGAGCATTCATAATCACAAAGTTGTTATCATGTAACTTTAGACTATTAAATCATTAGTTTATAAAGTTGATCAATGAATATAAATTGGTTTTACGGGTCTCACGAAAAACCCTTGGTCTCACGTGAACCCAACCCTATATATATATATATATCTAAAAGTTATTTTGAGAAGTGGTAAATATTTAACAAATAACAAATGATCCTAGCCCTTCATACAGTAAATATCGGATTTGACTAGTCAATAATTACGGTTTTGACTTGTTAAAAATTGTGGGTATGCGAAAAATAGATATGGTAGTTTTGTAACTTTTACAAATATGCAGCAAATGGGTCCATATATGAACTCATGTGATTCTAATATGAACTATACATGTTTATATATGAACTACATATGCTCATACGTGAACTCATTTAATTCACATATGAACTATTTTAACTGATTCACATATGAACTCATATGATTTACATATGAAGTAATTAACTGATTCACACATGACCTTGTGTGATTCACATATGAACTAATTAAAGGTCCACATATAAACATATAGTTCATATGTGTATCACATGGGTTTACATATGAATCATTTTGCCGCCTATTTGTAAAATTTATGAAATTACTCATCTATCTTCCGCATACTCATTCAAAGAATTATCTGATGCTCCACGGTCAAAATTTACCACTACGCAAATGAACTTTTCCCTATATAAAGGGGTAGAGATCTTGACCAGTCAAATTCAATCAGTCAAAACCCATCTTGACCGTATAAAGGGCTAGAATCAATTCTTTATTTCTCAAATATTTATCATTTCTCAAAATAACTTTTGACTATATATATATAATCAATATATATATATATATAATCAATATATATATATATATAATCAATATATATATATATATAATGTTCAATAAATAAAAATACATTTTATAAACTATAAAAATGATAACTAAGGTTTTTGTAAGAACCTTCATTATGGACTATATTTAAGGTTCTTATTTTGTTGAAGTGACAATGATTTAGAAGGAAAAAATATGGCACACGAGGTTTTTAGAGGTTTCACCATTGTGAATGTTCTTAAAGTTGTGTTTGTCAAGTGTCAACCATATATAAATTAACCGGTTAATTTACTTTAACTTGATTCTTATTTTGGTAACGTACTTTCAAAATTTTCATTTTGGTATCCAAGATGTAAGGTTTTAAACATTTAAGTATGGTGTAACAGGTTGAAGCATTAACCGGTTATCATGCTGATATAGCGAGTCATGTGGTATTCAACTCAGTATTATTTGCTGATGTGGTTTAGTGACATGAATTTTTCCAATCTTAAATGATTATTTTTTTCAATCTAAAATTGATATTCAACCGATTACTCAGATACTTAAATGTTTAAAACTTTACATTTTAAATATCAAAATAGAAGTTCTAAAAATACGTTACTCAAAATATGAATTAAGTTAAAGTATGTTACTTTTTCATATAATTTACCCTAAAAATAATTAGATAAAATTATATGTTATTTTGGTTATTGAACAAGTAAACTTGTGTTTTGCTGATTAGCTACTAAACTATACCTAATCAATCATTAAATTGTTTTAAAGCCACGTACTTTACATATACGACAAATTTTGTTAACGCACGGTACCCAACAACCTTTCCAAGTAATCATCCATCACTCTCTCTTTGGGGGTTTTGCATATTACCTCTTGAAATCCATCATTTTGATCTGTTCTTTCAATGGCGTCATCATCTTCTACATCTTCATCTTCATCTTCATCTTCATCATGTTTCGTACCAACACCAGCAGGAGGATGGACATATGACGTTTTTCTAAGTTTCAGAGGAGAAGACACTCGGTACAATTTTGTAGATCATCTTTATGCGGCTTTGGATCGGAATGGATTAACTGCGTTCAAAGATGACAAGATGCTCCGGGTAGGGAAAGAGATCTCTCCAGAACTCATGAAAACCATCCAAGAGTCAACGTGTACGGTGGTTGTTTTCTCCAAAAATTATGCAAACTCTTCATGGTGTTTGGCTGAGCTCGCCAAAATCATGGAATATCATAATCAGGAGGAGCGATTGTTGATACCAGTGTTCTACCATGTTGATCCATCCGATGTGCGTGGACAGAAGAAAGACTTTGGGACTGCCTTTCAGCAGCACGAGAAGAAGTTTAATGAAGAGATGGATAAAGTGAAGGAGTGGAGGCAAGCGATCACTGCAGCCGCCAATTTATCTGGTTATTATATCTCGAAAACAGAGTAAGTTTTTCTCTATATGTTGATTAAATTACTTGCAAAATGTTGGTGATTTCAGTGAGATCATGGCCTATTTTGTGTAATTAGGTTCACAAAAGAATGATGGATTGGTAGTTAAGCAATAACATGAGTCAGCTGCGAAGTCCACATGTAAGCTAGCTAGGACCCGAGATCGCTAGATGTCGCCTAATGGCAGTGGTCAAGGGGGTCGCACCCCAACCCCTTTGCGGGGTCCTAGAGGCAGCGTCCCTAATGTTGCGTCTGATGGATCACAGGCTGATGGAATACCCACTGATGGGTTTACCTTGGGGATAAGCTTCTACAGCCCGGTTGACCAATGAGGATCTCAAATTGCCCCAGTCGAGATCTATGGCTTCAGCTTCTCAAATTACCTCTCTCTATAAAACCCCTCCTCAGAGGAGAACATAAGCTCCAGGATGAGTATTTTTATGAACAGAGTTTCTAAAATTCAATTGGAAAACCTTACTTTTTCCCGCTGATCATGGGACAATTTCAATTACAAACTGAAAGTAATCAGCTGCAGCAGATGTATGAGAACACCAATTTGACTTTAAATTTTATGAAAAATTAATCCATTGTCCAATCGGAAGAATTAGAGGAAAATTCATGTTTGGTAGTTGAATATAAGGTAATTAAATAAGGCTTGGGAGTTTAAGGATTATTCTTAGAGGTCATCGGTTCGATTAATGCAATGCCACTTTGAATTTGTTGTAAACAGAGGTATGTCCACAGAAATTAAGAGAATATATTTTATTGATGTCTTTTACATAACCAATAATAGAGATATGAAACAATATAAATAGGAAACAAACAGGTACAAAACGATACACCTGCTGGAAGCACCTATTCACACAGAGAAATAACCGACACAAACCTTAGAAAGTAACTGACACAAAGCAGAACTAACTAGCATATATGGATGTTTGGCTTATAACCAATATTCCCCCATAAGCTAAACATCTTCAACACCAAGAGCTTTCTTCAGATTTATAAAACTTCCATGTTGCAAAGCCTTCGTGAAAATATCAGCTGTTTGATCCTTTGAACCACAGAAAAGAACTTCCACATCCATGTTTTGAATGAGTTCTTTAATAAAATGAAACTTAATCCTTATATGCTTACTTTTCCCATAGTACACTGGATTCCTTGTAAGTGCAATAGCAGACTTATTATCACAGAAGATTGGAGTTGCAGATTTCTGTGAAAAACCCAATTCATCTAAAACACCTCTGAGCCATAAAGCGTGACAACCAGTTGATGAGAGAGCCATATATTCAGCCTCCGTAGAGGATAAAACAACAACCTTTTGCTTTTTTGATTGCCATGAAACAGCCCCTGTTCCGAAATTGAACAAGTAGCCTGTTGTACATTTGCTGTCAACAGGATTTCCCCCGTAATCACTATCGCTGAAACCAACTAGCTTGGGATCATGAGTATAAGAGTATTTAATACCATGATTTAATGTACCTTTTACATACCTCAAAATACGTTTTGCAGCCTCCCAATGACTTCTCTTAGGATCTTCCATAAATCGACTAACTAAGCTGACAGGAAACATGATGTCAGGTCTCGTTGCAGTTAGATACATAAGACAACCAATGAGACTTCTAAACAGGGTAGAATCCACACTCCTTTCATTGATATCTTTCGTTAACTTCAAACCAAATTCCATAGGAGTTGCAGCAGAAATAGAATCACTCATATTGAACTTAACCAGAAGTTCCATAGCATATTTTCTTTGAGATATGGAAATCATGTGATCACCTTGTTTAGCCTCTATCCCCAGAAAGTAATGTAGCAAACATCAGTTTTCATGCTCTCTTTAAATTCATTAATCAAATCTAACGAATTTCCTGTGAAGACCAGATCATCCACATATATACAGACTATAAGAACCTTGCTAATTTCTTTCTTTATAAAAAGAGTATGTTCATAAATGCATTTCTTGAACCCACGTTTGATAAAGTATCCTTCAATTCTACTATACCAGTCCCTTGGAGCCTGTTTCAACCTATAGAGAGCTTTCTTTAAATGACATACCTTATTCTCTTGTATCCACATGGTTGATCAACATACACATCTTCCTCAAGGTAGCCATTGAGGAAGGACGACTTCACATCCATTTGGTGAACCTTCCAATTGTGTTGAGCAGCCATGGCCAGAACCAATCTTATGACAGGCACAAACACTTCTTGATAATTAATACCATACTGCTGTTTGTAGCCTTTTACCACTAACCTGGCCTTGTGTTTGTCTACCTCCCCCTTTTCATTAAGTTTGGTCTTGTAAATCAATCTCACCCCAATGGATTTCTGTCCACTAGGACGATCTACCAGATCCCAGGTGTTATTTTTTATGATTGATTGCATCTCTCTATCCATTGCACCCCTCCATCTTTTATCTAAGCAGGCCTCCTCATAGTTTAATGGTTCTGCATCAGCAAACAAAGCAAAATCAGCAAAATCACCGAGATTTATAGGCTGTGTGCTTTCATATAGATCTCTTAGGCTCCTTGTCTTTCTATTCTGTCTACTTGAAGAAGAGGAACCTTCAGTATCTGTTGACTCAGAACTTGGAGTTGCTTGGTTATTGATTAAAGGAGTGGATATACTAGATGGCGAAGGAGATTCTACCATGTTTTCAGATCCTTCATAGTTATTAGACTGCTCTTGATTCTCTTCTATCACAATACAGGTGCCTCCATCATCACATAGCAGCCCCTTCCAATTCTTGTCTTCATCAAAAATGGCATCTCTACTAATAATAACTTTCTTTGTCCAAAGGTTATAAAGTTTGTAGGCTTTAGTATTGTAACTATAGCCTACGAATATTACTTTTTCAGACTTTTGATCCAACTTCTCTCTCCTTTGTTTGGGGACATGAACATAAGCCACACAGCCAAATGTCCTTAAATGTTTCACACTTGGCTTGAAACCACTCCATGCTTCCTGAGGGGTTTTATTTAGTACGCTTTTAGTTAGAGATCTATTTATCAGATAACCAGCGCAAGCAATGGCTTCAGCCCAGAACACATCAGGTAGATGTTTGCTTTTGAGCATACATCTAGCCATTTCTACAAGGATTCTATTTTTTCGTTCTGCACCCCATTCTGTTGGGGAGTGTAACTGGCAGTAAGTTGATGATGAATACCATTGATTTTCAGAAAATCTTCTAAATCATGTGCTATATATTCTCCCCCACGATCTGATCTCAAGCACTTAATTTTATGATCACTTTGTTTCTCAACTCTAGCCTTGAATAGAACAAAGTGACCATAGGTCTCAGATTTTTCTTTCAGAAAGTATATCCAAACTTTTCTAATGAAGTCATCTATGAAAGTGAGGAAGTATCTGCTGCCACCAATTGAAATTGTTCTCATGGGGCCACATATGTCTGAGTGAATTAATTCTAAAGGTTTTGAAGCCCTCCAAGTCTTATCATGAGGGAAGGAATCTCTAGCATGTTTGCCTAAGGCACAACCCTCACAGACTTGTTCAGAATTTTGTACCTCAGGTAGGCCTTTTACCATTTCATTCTTATTCATTTGGTTTAGAGAGTTTAGACTAACATGTCCAAACCTGTTATGCCAAAGTAAGGATATATCCTTAGAACTCATATTGAGAGAAAGGAACCTATCATCCTCAAATCTTATAGGAAACATCTTATTAGGAGTCATGTTAATTTTCCCAATTAAGACATTAGTGGGATCTTTTAACTCACAGGTCTCATTCTTAAACAGAAGTGAGAAGCCTTTGAGGATGAGTTGACCAACACTCAACAAGTTATGTTTTAATCCAGACACATAGAAGACATTGGAGATCCTTTTTTCTTTGTCTTTAATTTTAATGACAGTGTCACCACTACCCAAAACATCAAGTTTTTTATCATCCCAGTCCTAACATCCTTCTCGGATTCTCTTAAATTTAGGAATAGACTCCTATTCCCAGTCATATGATTACTACACCCACTGTCCAGATACCATAGATCAGTTTGTGGTTTATCTTGGACACTTAACATCATAAACATAGAGTCCTCATCTTTGCTTTCTTCCTTATGAATAAAGCTTGAGGTCTTGTTTTCTTCTGCTATTCTTTTCCTACAGAATTTAATAGTATGCCCAAATTTATCACAATAGAAACACTTCACTTGAGAAAAAGATTTACCTTTTCCTTTTCCCTTGAAGGCTGGAGTTCGATATTCTTTACTTGTCTCTGAATTTCTTTGTCTGTCACTGGTTTTTGCATCCCAAGAAGACTCTGCTTGGAAGACATGTTCCATGGTAGGAGAATCAAATTGCCTCATACGAAGTTCATGCGATTGAAGTGTACCCAAGAGTGTCTCTAAGGAAAAATTAGACAGATCCTTTGATTCTTCGATTGCAACAACGACATATTCGAATTTTCTGGTAAGGCTATATAGTATTTTCTCTACTACCCTTTTGTCATCGATGCTTTCTCCATTCAGCCGCATCTGATTCAGTAAGATAATCACTCTGGTATAAAATTCTTTCGATGGTTTCTGTTTCTTTCATCTTCAAATTGTCAAATTCGCATCTTAGGGTTTGAAGTCTCACCATTTTGACCTTTTCTTCCCCTCTGTAAGGTTTCCCAGGCTTCTTTGGAGGAATTTGAAGAAAAAATCCTTTCAAATATAGTCATCTACTGCTTGATAAATCAGGAATAAAGCCCTCTTGTCTTTCTTCTTATTTTCTTTTAGGGCTGTCGCTTGTTGAGCAGTAATGCCGTAGGATTTACTGGTTCAACTATGCCTTCTTCAACAATTTCCCATAAGTCCTGTGATTCAAGCAGTACTCTCATTTGGATGCTCCAATGGAAGTAATTCCTACTATTCAATTTTGGAAGTTGAGTCTGTGATTGCAGACCAGTCAGAGAACTCGAAGATGAAGCCATATCTTAATGGCTCTGATACCAATTTGTTGTAAACATAGGTATGCCCACAGAAATTAAGAGAATATATTTTATTGATGTCTTTTACATGACCAATAATAGAGATCTGAAATAATATAAATAGGAAACAAACAGGTACAACCAAATGACACACCTGTTGGAAGCACCTATTCACACAGAAATAACCAACACAAACCTTAGAAAGTAACTAACACAAAGCAGAACTAACTAGCATATATGGATGTTTGGCTTATAACCAATAGAATTTTCCTGGCGGTTGTTCTCCAGGCCTCTGGGAGGCTGGGATTAGTCGAGGCGCGCCAAGCTGGCCTGGACAGCCTTGACAAAAAAAATAGCATTTCAACATAAAGATTGAGCTCATATCACTCAAGGTAATCTTATTAAGACTGTAATGAAGTTGAAGTGGTAATATGTTGGTCATTATATTAGTCCAAATCATGTAAGAAAATGGCCCACAACCAGTGTTCATCTAAATTTCATCATTTCTAATATTAACCAACTCTACAGTATGCATGCGAGAGTTAACTTGCTAACAATGCTCTAAACTCTGTAGGGGTGAATTTTCCTTCGTCACCAAAATTGTTCAAGATATATTAGAACGTTTACGGCCTCATGTTACGGAGAACAATCTAATTGGTATCAAGTCCCACATCGACAAATTAAAGTCATTACTGGATTTAGAAGCAACACAAGAGGTGCGAATTGTAGGGATATGGGGAATGGGAGGAATCGGCAAGACAACTATTGCCCGAGCTTTGTTTGGAGGAATTCGTCATGAGTTTGATGGTTGTAGCTTTATTAATGATGTCACAGAAAATGGTTCTAGTAAAAGAGATATATGTGCCTTACAAGAAAAAATTCTTAAGGATATGACACACCACGAGTATAAGATTACGGATCAAGAGGAAGGAGCCCAAATGATAAAAAAAAGATTTTGCAAAAAGAAGGTTCTTCTTGTTCTTGATGATGTGGATCATGAGAATCAATTAGAGTTCCTAGCTGGAACACATAAGTTGTATGGTAAAGGAAGTAGAATCATCATAACCACTAGAGACCGGCAGGTGTTAGAAGATGCAGATGCCATCTACAGCCCTGATTTTTTACCTGAGGAGCATGCTATTGAGCTCTTCAGTAGGCATGCTTTTAAGGCAAATAGCCCTCCAGAGGAGTATAAGGAGCTGTCAAGCCGTGCAATACGCTACACTGGCTGTCTTCCTCTAGCTCTGAAGGTTTTAGGCTCTTTCTTCCGCGGAAAAAGAGAAGTAAGTGTATGGGAAAGAATTTTGAATGAGTTAGCCAAAACAGAAAATGATGAGAGTACAGAGACGCCATTTACCCAAAAAAGACCAGGTATTTTTGAGACGCTGAAGATCAGTTTTGATGGGCTGGAGGATTCTGAGAAAACCATATTCCTAGACATTGCATGTTTCTTCAAGGGTGGAGAAGAAAAACATGTGACTAGAGTACTCGACTGCTCTCGTTATGACCCAACAATAGGAATTCGCACTCTTATCGAAAGATCTCTCATAACCATTTCAAAAGGAGATATACACATGCATGATGTCCTTCAAGAAATGGGTTTGGAAATTGTTCGTAAGAGTTACCCAAATAGTAGGCTATGGCGATTGAATGAAATCCATGATTTCATCACGAAAAACAGGGTAATAAATTTATAGAAGGGACTCTTTCTTAAAATAATTGTATTCAGAATGAATACGGTTTTTTTTAACTTCAGTTTAATACTTTGTTGCAGAATCTAGAAGCAGTTGAAGCCATAGTGCCGACATACTTATACGTGAATGTGGGTCTTAGTGCTTCTGTTTTTGAGAGCATGAAGAATATTCGGCTATTGGATATCTACAGGAATTTCACTTCTTGTAAACCTACAACTCTCCCTGAAGAGTTACAATGGCTTAGTTGGGATCAATACCCATTTTCTTCTCTGCCAGTAGCAAACCTGCGTAAGCTTGTTACTCTTGACATGTCACGGGGTAAACTCGAACATTTATGGATCGGGTATAAGGTATTTTGTGGATCAAAACCATTTCTTAATTAGCAATAAACTTACGTCATAATTTTCCATGCATAGACATTTACATATATAGAGGTGAGTTATTATGCAACCCTTTACATTTGTACAACCAATAAAACTCAATCTCAACCGTCCATTTAATTTGATGAATATGTATAAAGTTTTGATTGTTTCCTAATATAAAGTATTGATTATAGTCAATGAGACCTCTAGTCATCTTCCATAAATATTCAAATCATAATAAATTAACTCTCATCATTTCCATAAATATCTCAATTAATTGAGTTGCATTGGTTGTACAAATGGACATGGTTGCATTTGAAATATACCCTACATATGTGTATATATATACACACACACACATATATAGACTTGGGATCACGTACATATATAGACTTGGAATCACGTGAGACCAGCATTCTTGAGACCCATGAGTCCACCTTTTTACACTTAAAACTTCACACCAAAATATTGTGAAGGTAACCTTCATAGTATTCTTGTTGTGAATGTTCGGATTTTTTACCATCACAGTATATTGCTGTGAAATTTCAAGTTGTAAAAAAGTGGTCTCATGGGTCTCACGAAAACAACACGGTCTCACGTGAACCCAACCCCATGTGATTATAACGAGAACATTTTTGTTAACCAAATAATTAGGGTCCCCTTCTTTTGTTAACCCCATGGTACCTAGCAGGTTGACATGTGATTTATACTTATTTTGGCCATTCTCTTATATATAGGGTCCCCTTCTTTTGTGAACCAAATAATTAGTATTAGCTTTGTTAACCGAAGCATTTTTGTCTTTTTTATATATTGATTCCATATTCCTTAAATATTTCATTTACTTAATTATCTCATTCACTTAATTATTACATTATTTAATTATCTTATTCACTTAATTATTACATTACTTAACTATCCCCATTCACTTAATTGTTTCATCTATGAAATTTCTGATTTCACTTATGAACATGTTCAAACTTTTTTAATTATATCATTCACTTTCTGGTTTCACCTATGAATTTTAAATAAAAACCATTGTTTCACTGTCTAATTTCACCTATGAACTTTGATGATCTGGTTTCACCTATGAACTTTAGATAACAATCATTGTTTCACTTTTTGGTTCATCTATGAACTTTGATTATGTGGTCACCTACGAATTTTAGATAGAAATAATTGTTTCACTTTTTGGTTCACCTATGAACTTTGATTATCTGATTTCACCTATGAACTTTATACAAAAATTATTGTTTCACTTTCTGATTTTATCTTTATCAAAAATCATTTAAATATTATTATTGCTTATTTTTCAAAAATAAATATGAATATCTTCCAAAAATAAAAAATCATTAAATAATATTATTGATTATCTTTCAAAAATAAAAACAACTTGTTCCAAAAACACCCTTCATTTAATATAATTTAATTTGTTTCTTTTTTTATTAGATTATAACCTTTCATTAATCATAATTAAAAAATGTAAAACTTATATCAATTAACAAAGTTAATACTAATTACTTGGTTAACAAATAAATATGTCTCTCTCTCAATATATATATTAACAGCTTCTTATTTGTATTCAATTATGATTAAATCCTGATCATAATTTTGATATTTGTTTCTTTGTTAGGTTATGCCATATTTGAAATTCATTCACCTTGAACGTTTGGATTGCTTAGAAAGCTTTCCAGATGTCTCAGGAGCCCCAAATATTGAGAGGTTGATTTTGAAGTTATGTGGAAATTTGGTGGAGGTTCATGAGTCTCTTGGAAGTCTGAGAAAGCTTGCTTACTTGAGAATAAGCCATTGCTGGAAACTGGAGTATCTCCCACCCTTGATTGACATGCCATTATTGGAGACTCTAGATCTCTCTCATTGCTGTAATCTTAAAAATTTCCCTAAGGTCTGTTCGGGTATGGAAAAACTATCAAATATAAATCTTCACAACTGCCCGCAACTGCAAAAATTGCCAGAGGAGCTTGGAAGCATGGTAAACTTAGAAGAGCTACGGCTAAGTTTTTGGGATCATTCTGCCAACCAAATTTCATGCTTTAATTTTCATACTTTGCCTAAGTTGTTCTTGAGAAAATTAGATCTTAGTTGTAGACAAATCGAAGACCAAAAGTTCCTCAATAATCTTCATGCATTTTCCTCCTTGGAAGAATTATGTCTTAGTGGCAACTCTAAGTTACTCCACTTACCCTCAAGCATCTCTCACCTTTCTCGTCTTAAACACTTAGAGTTGAATGAATGCCAGCAACTTCGAAATATTCAAGGGCTGCCATCAGGAATACAAATATTGAAGGCAACCGACTGTAGAGTGTTGGAAGAGATTGAAGATCTAACAGAAGAGTATGTATGGCTGCATAAGATATATCTCCCCGGTTGCGAAAGACTCCTAGAGAACCAAGAGAATCTTGATAAGATGTTGAAACAAGCCTTCATTAAGGTACCCGTTCTCTATCTCTCGTATCTGATAATATTTATATTTATCTCATTTTAACTCACTTCTTGGTCTTCGACTCCCTCAGTCACTAGTCCCTCATCAGTGTTTTTTTGTTTTATGTGCCGTCTGAACCCCCCCCCCCTTCTCTCTCAAAACCCCACCTGCAAAACATGCAAGTGTTACACCCGAATCATCCTGATGGTGGGTGCATAAGTGATTTTAAAGTATGATGTTTGATAGGAGATGGAAGTCTGTAGAATACATATCTATTTTTGTTGTAGATATCATGTCCTTAAATTAAGGACCTTTCGTGTATCACTACAAAACTGAGCACTATCAGTGATGGTCCCAGGCCTTTGCTAATGCTGATATCTGTCGTTGATAGTCCTTGCGTCAAAAGGGCGTGGGTGATTCTATCAGTGACGGCTTAGCTATCAACGACGGACACTATCAGCAACAGATTAGAGAGGGCTTTTTTTAGCGATAGATCAACGGCGAAACAGTTTAGCGACAAACCATATTAGCAACGGATTTACGAGGGACCTCTAACAACAGATTTGCGATATTTTAGTGATGAATTTGCGATGACCCACCAACTTTTAGCAACGGAAATATGTTGTTGATTCTTCGCTGATTTTTAGTAATTTAAAAAAAAATATGTATTTCTTGTATATTCTATACAAAACACGCCCATAAATTGAAAATAACGAACAAAAATTGTCCAAAAAATAAAAAATAACCAATTCATACCATTTAAAATACCAAATTCATACAATTCAAAATAATGTCAGAGAGTTGGGTAAAAATCTAACTAAATGGAGGGTCGGGAGGGGGGAGATTGTATCCTTGTTTAAGCATAAAAGCAGCAAATGCTCCGATAACTTGATCTACTCCGCTAACTAACTTGTATGACCTGTTGGCCTCCAGATCTATCCTATTTTTCTGTTCGACCTCCGGCTCGGGCCGATGGCATTCCTCCATTTCTGCATCTTTGTTCTCAACTCAGCTACCTGTAAATATCCAATATTTGATAAAAATCAGTAATTTGTTGGCAATGAAAAGTAATGACATGATGTATAACAATATAACCAACATATCTTCGTTACTGATCCAATAACAAATGATCTCCAGATGTTGTTACTACAATCACTAGTCATAGCATAATAGGGATCACAGGAGGTCCCGAAACCAAAAAACGACCCTTCTTCCATCCTCCAACACTCTGCTCCCAAAAAGATGCATCATCATGGGGTGTTGGGCTCTACATTAGATTTGGCCGCATCCCTAAGCTCTCAAAACCGGTCATATAGTGTACCAAAACAAAAGAGGTGAGCTTAATTATATCTGTAGACATTTTCAACAATACAACGATTGTAAATCAAACATATTGAATGTCTGCTTTTAACAATTATAACATTCTAATTACTAATGGTAGTTACATTGCCAACCAACCTATCTACTTAGCCCAACGTCTGCCCAACAGTGACAGCCCAAACTAATAGCATCACTACGTTTATTAAAATATATTACTTTAAACCTACCAAACGGTTCTATAAACAAAGTAATGGTTTTAGAAAACTTATCGCCACTCTAGCCACTTTAGGGTAAACGAACTGAGGAGGATCAGTAGGCGGGCTGGAAAAACCTGGAATGACCTTCCGGTTCGAGTAGTAGATACGCTCAAACACCTCAAAAGAGCTTGGCTCGCGACCCCATGCCTTAGAGCACACCATCATGGATCAAGAGTCGCTACCTCCTGGCTCTGGGTCCTATTAAATCTTGCCCTACATATAGAAGATTTGTATCAAAGTAAAAACAACAATCTGATATGTGCAATTACTTTAAAAGGGATTCATGTACACCAATCTAAAAGCGCTCGAACATCAATTCGTGGTCAGGTTGAGAAATCTTCCACGAAACCATGAACCACGAACCACAAACCACGAAATGAAGACCTGAATATAGACGTGATCTCCCGGACAATATAGGGATTTAGAATCCTGCACAATTAAAAAATATATACAACACAAAAGGAATTCATATCATTTTATTATGTAATATAAAGCCTTATACCACATCTACTTACTCATGACCTCCCAGATCCAGATGTTTTCGCTGACTCAGATTACGTGGGGTCAACATCGAATGGTTGAGGTCTCTCCTCGACCCCGAACCATTCAAAAGAGAGAGACCATCGTCTCATGCTTTTGATCCTGATCCTCAAGGCCAAAGGTCAGGATGGTAGCATCCATAAACTCATTCATGTCATCAGCGTGCGGGTCGCCACGCCCACTAATGGAGCTACTGCCCCTACCGGACATGGGGCTACGTCTACCCCGAGCTCCTCTACTACTACCATGCCCACGGCATGACATCGCCTGAAAAAACGAACATTAAATTCTATCAAGAAATAGACAATGACAAATCGCAATTATACAATTGTGAAATAAACATACAGAAGACAAGCTACTCATCAGAAGAATGATTAGATAATATTAATTCATTTTCGTCATCTGAATCATCAACTATATCTTCAAATACTGATTGATTGTCGCTATCTTCATTTCCCTGCCCATCGTCTCTAACATCGTTCGATTTGTCGCCACTGTGGCAAAACGAACCGAATCGAGGTCCTTGTTTTCCAATGTGGTGGTTGTATGAGTTACCTTTTCATTGATTTGAATGAATTGTTCTCCATCCACATTATCATTGTCTTCAACATCATTAATCCTATATGCTACTTCATATATGTCACAAGCCTTTGTCTTGACAAGAACCCACCAATCTTTGAAATCATTTGTCATCCAAGAATATGAAGTAGAGGTGATCATTTACAGGCTTGCTCCGGGACCGGGCCTAACATAACCTTTTTGTCCAACACGCCTAATATAACAACACTCAAGCCCATTTTTGCGAGCTTATGGACTTGCCTGTACCTGCCTTATAAAAGGTTCAGGCTTTCCCGGGAAAGCGAACTTATTCTTTTTGAAATTTGGAAAACAAAACTTATATTAAGTCATTAGTCATATAAGATCGTTTAAATCACATAATTTTTTTTTGGATATAAAATAAGACAAACAATATATTAAAATTACATAGCTTATGAAAAAATAGTTTACAATATATAGAGTATGAACATTTTCTCTCCAATGATATATCAACTTCCAAAGTCGGGTTCTTTTTCCATAACAAAAAATTTATCATCCAATATTTCAAGATCGAGATTCGAAATGTACTAGATAACATATTATATACATTTGGGTGACGGTTGGTACTTAGTAGAGGGAATCCAACCCAAAGCCATTTCTAAATTGGTTTAATAAAAAACAGTAAATTATTAATTATATATAAAATTTAATCAACTATAATAATATAAAGGGTCGGGGACTCGAGCGGGCTTGTCTGAATTCTTTTTTTCGTTGCCCTAGCCTGCCCATTTTTCCGAGTAATTGTCCAAGCAGGATGGGTCTAGCGGGTCGTACTGTCCATGGACAGCTCTAATATGAAGTATAGTAGACTTGCTCCACCTGTGATGCTAGAAAACGAACGAACAGGTTGTTGGATTCGAGTCTAGACCTATATTTCATATCTACCTAACTATGTTTAGGGCCAACTCTAACCCTTGACGGAGTATCAAACCAAGTGCATTTGAAAAACATAACTACCTGTCACCCTACACCATAATATTTTACCTCTAAAACATCATCCATCATTTCATAATAGTCAGATTCACACTCGTCGTAACAAGCCTGACACATACACCACTATTAGGGTAACGTTAAGATCCACTATAGCTCAATAAGACCCAATAAGACCTTTTTGACTTGTTAAGGCCCAATATCACCAACGTTGACTTATTATTTATTTGTATGCGATAACAGGCAACACACACATTATTATCATTACATTCACATGTATACATACATATACACATTATATGTGGCTACCAAACAACACACATTATATATACATTCACATATGGTACATGCATATAAACATATACACATACATATTTACATTATCTATACATTCACATATACACATACATATAAACATATATAAAAGATATACATAGATCCAATCGCGATTAGCAACCAATATACATACAAATCATGTGTGTGTGTATATATATATATATATATATACAGATATATATATAACACATACACATGTATACATATAACACATACACATGTAAAACATATAAATGAGAAAACAAAAAAAAATGAATAAATCTGTCGCCTGTCCCTCGCTAGTTAGGGACGGATTAGCTATGGATTAGTGACGGATGGGCTTGTGGTCAATCCCTCGCTAATTAGCAATGGATAAGGGTCGTCGTTAATGCTCCTTTTCTAGTAGTGGTGCTGACCCTTTGTATTGTATGTTAGTTATAAACTAAATAGATAATCAATCACCAAATATCACAATTTTTCTTGTTGGGTACAGAAACAACTAGCTGTAGATCGCCGGTTAAGTATCTGGATTCCAGGAAGCAAAATTCCAAGCTGGTTCGAACATCAACATCATGGAAGAGAAATAGCACTAAAGTTTCCTACCAATCGACATACCAATATCACGGGGTTTGTGGTATGTGTTGTGTTCAGAAACGAGTGGCCATTTAAGCAAACTGAAATTGAAGATTCGACACTATCTATCATCTATATACCAATCGGTGACTTTTGGAGGCAGATGCAGCTGTATGGTTTAAAACCAGATGATTGGTCTCCTTTGCTTGAAGGTAGATGCTGTCTTAATTTGAATGTAGTTAGTAGCAGCATTAGAGTTGAAAGATGTGGGGCACATATAATGTACAAAGAAGACACGGAATCCGTCCAACAAATCACTACTTCGATCTCTGATTATCGAGACTTGGAAGATAAACATTTTGTTGACTGGTTCTTCTGGTATCGTATCGAGTTTAAAGTTATGAACATTGATTTATAAGTTCCCAAGGTACTCTACATTTTACCTTTGATTAGAGAAAATTTTTCCTCATTTGGATAAATTGGAAAAGAAACATTTTACCTTTTCAAGCGTTTTTCTTGAATCCATTGGAAACCTACGAGCCTTCAATTTGAAGAGCAATATAATAATATCTAAAGCTGTTGGGTCATTGATCAGTATCTTTCTAAATCAAAACGTGATGCTGAGTATTACGCAATAAGGAAATAAGTTGTGCTTTCTTCACCATCAATTGCTAGTGGTTAGCGCTTGGATCCTAGCATGTGGTATTAGAGCACGTCACGGGTTCGAATCTCATGAGGTGCATAATAATGCCAAATGCATTGAGGGGGGGGGGGG